TGCTCGAGGCTACAAAGTTTCAATATAGAAGGTAAATAAATCCCAACAAAAATGGCTGTGGCCCCGGAGCGAGCAGGAGGCTTGCGTTTCCCTGGCAATGGAGGAAGCCAAACTTCCTGGCCTGCCCTGGTCTCCGCTCAAGGCTACAAAGTTTCAATTATAAAAGATAAATCCCAGATACCAGGGCCTTTGCTTGGGTCGCCAGGGGATGTGGCCAGCCTGCAAACCACCATAGGCCCCTTGCACAGTCTCTCAGCCCAGCCTGCACCCTCTTCCAATCTGAGACCCCTTGAGGGCTGTCCGACTGGCCGTTTATGCCTGATACCAGTGGGATAGGGCCTAAATGGGCAGGTGGACATCCCTCTCACAATCTGGGATTGCTAGCTCCTAATCACTCACCTGCCTGCCAGCCTGATCACCCCCTTGCCACTCCTCTACCAGCCTGATCAATGCCTAACTGTTCCCTGTCAGCCTGATGGATGCCTAACAGCTCTCCTGCCAGCTTGATTCCCTAACTGCTCTCTCCTGCTAGCCTGGTCTCTCCCAACTGCCCTCTGCTGCTGGCCTAGTTGCCTCCAACTGCCCTCCTCTGCTGGCCTGATCACCCACAACTACCTTCCTTTGCTGACCATCTTGTAGTGGCCATCTTTGACGACATGGAGGTGGCCATCTTGTGTGAAGGCGTGAGGGTCAATTTTCATATTACCTCCTTATTACAATACTAGGCACCTGTTGCAGGAATATTCCTGCAAGACTTCTGGCTGGCTTCCCTCCTGCCACCCCACTTCCCCCACCTCCCACCTCTCCTGCTGAGGTGGCAGGGCAGGGTGGGTGAGACAGGCAGGGCACGCCCCACCCCACCGCACCTGCAGCCACCACAGCCACCATCTTGTCCATGCACGCTGTCACCACCGCTGTGCGCCTTGCCCCACATGCCCCGACCCACTTTCACCCTCTGCTACCGCTGCCTCCTCAGCTGCGCTTGCTGCCACCGCCTCTGGGGCTGCATGCCACCACTGCGCACCTCGCCCTGCCCCACATGCACTGCCAGTGCTTTCCCTCCAGCAGCCATAGCTGCCTTGCTTTCCACTTTCCCTCTCCCTTCTATGCTGTCTTCAGTCTTCCCTCCTTCCTCTCTCTGCATATGCAAATTAACCGCCAGCTTGGTTGGGGTTAATTTACATACTTGCTCTGATTGGCTGGTGGGCGTGAATTGTGTAGCGGAGTGATGGTTAATTTGCATATTATTCTATTATTAGGTTAGATAGGATTTTTGGCTACTTGAATAGAGTTATGCCACTGCCGTACATTTTTTTTTGTGAAGAATGGGAGAGCATTTTTTTGAATCTATTTTAAAAAATTGTTTTAACCCACACCCAAAGATATATTTATTAATTTGAGAGAGAGATAAACATCAATGGGGAGGAGAAACATTGATTGCCTCCCGTAAGCCTCTGAGTGAGGATCAAACTCGAACCCTTTTTTGGTATATCAACTATGCTCTAACCCAGTTGTTGGCAAACTCATTAGTCAACAGAGCAAATATCAACAGTACAATGATTGAAATTTCTTTTGAGAGCCAAGTTTTTTAAACTTCTTCTAATGCCACTTCTTCAAAATAGACTCACCCAGGCCATGGTATTTTGTGGAAGAGCCACACTCAAGGTGCCAAAGAACTGCATGTGGCTCGCAAGCTGCAGTTTGCTGACCCTGGCTCTAAGCAACCAAGCCACCCGGCCAGACCTAAATTTAATTTTAATCAACAAATTTAGAGTCCTCAACTGAAATATTGAAGCTTCATTACTTTCGGACAAAATTATTCCATTTTATAAATAACAAAAGACCCCTATTGTAAAAAGCCATGACTTAACAGAGAATGTTCTGGATATGGAGATGAGAAGTGTTATTTTCTTGCATTATTCTTACACTATAAACTTCCTCTGGTAATTCAGTTACTCCTTGAACACATGAAATGGCAAATTTAAACTGCTTTTTCAGCAAGATTTCCACAATATGCAGAGACGTAAATAAATGTGTGGTTTTTATAATTTTCTCAAAGTGGAAAAAAATAAAGTTTTGAAACTGTAGTATGCTTGGGCATGATAAAATCTGTTCCGCTCTGTGTAGGCAAGCTCTCTATTCTTATTAATTAAAGAGATTATTGAATGGACTCTTTTCAAATTCTGGGTAGAGTTGTCACTTCTTATTCCTCTGATCCAATAAATCATGTTGATGACTTTGGCAGACTATCAAGTAAATTTCTTTACTGGTTGCTTTTTTTTCTTTTCTCTTTTTAGCTATGGCTGTCCACCAAGATTCAATCCCCTCCTGGAGAGTGGTGTCCATTGGTTCTGCCAATTCATGTCCTATCTTAAGTCTTGTTTTTCCTTCTGACAGTTTTGGGATCTGAACTTTTATGACATACTTTTTTTTAAATTTAAATTTTGAACTAATTTTATACTTGCAGAATAGTTGCCTTAATAGAGAGTTCCCTAATTTCCTACCTTCACCTAGCCTCCCCCAATGTTAGCATGTTATATAATCATTTGTGAAAACCAAGAAATTAATATTGATACTGTATTATTAACTAAACTGCAGACCTTATTTGAATTTTGCCAGTGTTTTCATTAATGTCTGTTTTCTATTCCCAAATCCAGTCTGATCCAGTCTGGAGTCCCATGTCACATTTACTTATTTTTTTCTCCCTACTCTTCTCCAACCTGTGACAATTCCTCATTCTTTCCTTATCTTTGGTGACCTTGAGACTTTTGCAAAATAGTGGTGATTGTTTATTTTATTGGCCTTTAGGAGCATCTTGGATTAGTTCCCCTATCTTTTTATATATCTGAAGTTGTGTGTGTTAAAAGCCATAAGTTTATACTGATTTCCTCTGGTTCCAGTATGACACCGAAGGGTTCATGTTAGGGGTCCCTTCTAATATATAACTTCTTTCTCTCTGCCCTGAGAGTCCTAGCTCTGTCTTTAGTTTTACAGTATCCAGTTAAGATACTGTTTCTAGTTTCTCAGTTTTTTATCCCCAAGCCTTCACCCCTTTATTGTAGTGTGGTACATTTGTGATAAAGTTAGGTGTAATTTCTTGTGTTTGTATTCCACATTAGGTTTCCCCACATATGGGTTGATTTAATGATTTGTTTAGTTTTTGAGCATGTGAAGGATGTGAAATAAGAGTCTGATATAAAAAAGGTCTCCTCAGAGGAGGGTCAAGCCTCCTCATCCTTGTTCTCCAGTTTCCATTCTTCCTTCTTTGCCCCCTGTCATAAAAGCAACCAATCTCTGTAATTTTTGGTTTATTCTTCCTGTATTTCTTTGGGTTTGTGCCATTTTAAACTCATCAGGTTTGCATTAAAGCTTGTCCAGCAAGGCATTAGGGACATAGTCATTTCTACTTCATCCTTGACAGCCACTCCTCTGAAAGAAGACACCACTGCTGGGAGGTAGACACCACTGCTTGTGCGGAAACCTCTCTTTTGTTTAGTACTTAATACTTATATTTTAGCTACTTAGGTATGATTTGGTAACTTTAAAATGTAACCAATATTGTATCGCTAATAAAGCAAAAAGTGGATGGGAAAAAATATACCTTTTCCTACACCATCTTATCCATCGTTTAAATATTTAAGTCCATTTCTAATCACACAAGTCTTACATATACTCATTGGGGAAAGAAAGAAAGCTTTACACATAAAGATAAAGTCCTTTTTGCTCTTTATTTCATATTCTTTGAGATACTTTTAAACATTTCTTAATGTGTGTGCCAGTAGGAAAAAGTATTGTTTATAAATGTGAGGTTTTTTCCTGTTTGTTTTGGGTATTTTTATTTTATTTATTTTTTTACAGAAAAGGTAAAAAAATAGCTTTTTTATTCACATATGCCTTTAAATCTATTCATGTTTTATAGGTAGCCCTGCCCCATTGTTTTTAACATATGCAGAGTGTTTCTTGGTGCCTTTCCTCACCTGACTCTTAGTGCACATAAGTGGATACTAAGAAGTGGAATTGCGGGGCTGCAGTGTGTTCATGTTTCATTGTGATCAGTACAGCGTGTGTCATTGCTTTCCCTCGTGGTTGCCATTTTATTTTTTCTATCAGCATTCTATCAGAGTACTCCTTTCTTTATTGATCACCAACACTTGATATTTCCTATCTCAAGTTCTGGACAATCTGAGGATAAAATTTGTATTTTGTTTTAATTTGCTTTCATTTGAAATAGTGAGGTTGAATGTATTTTCATGTAATTATTAGCCTTTAACATTTTCTTTTCTGTGATTTGCTCATTTTTAACTGTTTATTCTTATTAATTTGTATGAGTTTTTTGTATGTGTTAGACTTATTCACTTATTGATCTCTTATAATATGCCCAAACACTATTGTAGGTTCTGGGCTAACAGCAAAAAACCAGGTTTCTAATTTCATAGAACTTACAAAGAAGTTAGATTTTAAAACATCTAAGTAAGTCAGTAAAATTATATAGATGTTAGTAAGTGCTATTAAAAATAGCACTTATTAAAAAAACAAGAGAGAGAGCGCCAGAGTAGGGAAGGAGCCCCAGTTTTCTCTTACAGATTTTGTCCACTGATTATTTGACCTGAGGTGGGATGGTCAGAGAAGCCTTCTCAAAGAAGGTGCAGTTGGAACTGAAACCTAAATGATAAGAAGGGGCTAGCCATGGAAGTGTCCACACAGAGAACAGCATATACCTGGGCTCTGAGGTGGGGCTAGTGAGTGAGGGGTACATAAAGTGAAGTCAGATCAGCACAAATGGTCAGAAACAGTGAAGGTGATTATCAGAGTGTTACTCAGGAGTAAGTGAGAGGTCTGTGTCAGGAGGAGGTTTCTTAGTTCCTCTTCATTCCTGTCAGGCTAGGTGACCAAAAGGGCTTTGCTCCGGGGAATTTGTGCATCTAGACTTGGTCATTGGGTTTTGTGGTGGTTTTAAGGCATAGGCCTTTTCTTTAATAAAGGAAAATTTTCTGTTTCAGATTACCTAAGAACAGTACGATTTGGGGTTATCACAAATAAACATCTTGCGAAACTGGTATCCTTAGTACACTCTGGAAGTGTGTATTTACATAGACATTTCAACACATCACTTGTAAGTATTTTGAAATCACGTTTATATTAGTGCAGTGGTTCTTAACCTTATTTAGATCACAGACTTCTTTGAGAATTGGATAAAATCTGTGGATACTCTCCCTAGGAAAGTGCACATGATTTTATATGCAAATTGAGAGTTCTTATAATTCCAGTTCTTATAATTCCATGCCCCTGGTTAAGAACCCATGGTTTAAAGGGCTCTTGAATTTAAAATCTAGAAATTCTTGTTTATATTCTTAGGTTTTGGGACAGCCTTGTTAGTTTTCCTTCTTGGATGAAATTATAGAACTATTCTGTTGGGGAATTGTTACTCTGGGCCCATGTTCTCAGAGGTTAAGCTTCCATTGGGCTATGTTCTTTGTTTCATTGGTTCCATTTATCTAGAGTAGCAATATGGCATGCTTTTCTCCTTAGCTGATATAATGGATTTTGAAGTTCTTGTCAAGTCACAGTGAGAAGTTGATTTCTCACCTCCATTGTCGCCTTTGTTTCCTGATTTCATTTGCTTTTGGTGGTCCAACTTCAACTCAGCTACTTCTGAACTGTATCCTGCTAATCCTGTGCGTCTGCTCTATTTATTGCTGCTTCCTTGGTCCCAATATTGAGAGTTTATTTCTCTTAAGTATTTTCTATTTCTAACTTCAGTGATAGTGTCAGTGACTTAAAGGTCGAATGATGACCAATAGTATCTCTACCCACCTTGACTCAGCATACAAGTCTCGTGCCTTGTAGGTACAATTAGGCAGCAATCTCTAAGGGACACCTCCTTGGTTGACAATCACCCCAGCTTCTGCATATTTCTAGTAGCCCACATGTTATGCTTTTCTTCTTTCAGTTCATATCCTAAAAAAATCAAATGTATTTTTGTGTTTTCTAAATAGAAATGTTTATTACGATGTTTGTTATTTTAAACTCTCATCGTCCCACTTTGAGAATCACTGCTGTGCTTATCTCTCCTCCACACACCCATTCTCATTGCACCCCTGTCTAAGCTTCTTTTAACTCCAACTGCTTTTGCTATGTATCATTTTTCTTCATCTGTTTTTCATAACATGCTATATAACCAGCATATATCATATTTATAATAAAGTGTACTGAGGAAGAAATTAAAATAGATGGAGAAAAGAAGATAGAACTATGAGAATGACACTGAAAAATATATTGGGTTTCCTGTATCAGTTCCATAAATTAAAGTTGGTTGGTTGATTTACCAGCAGAATTTCTTTTATCAAATGAAATACCATGATACTAGTATTTTAAAAAATAAATGCAGAGGACATCTTTTTTCAAATATAATTTATTGATTTGTTACAGAGGGGAAGAGTGAGGGATAGAGAGTTAGAAACATCGATGAGAGAAATATTGATCAGCTGCCTCCTGCACATCCCCTACTGGGGATGTGCCTGCAACCAAGGTATATGCCCTTGATCAGAATCAAATCTAGGACCCTTCAGTCCGCAGGCCGATGCTCTATCCACTGAGCCAAACCTGTTAGGGCGCAATGAATATCTTTGTTATGAATCTAAATTTGTTGTTTTGGGGGTGGCAGGGTATAAAATATCTCATTGTATGTAATCTTCCAAAGTACTTTGGTGTAAGTTTTGTTTCAAACTTACTGATATATATTAATTGGAATTTTAAAAATAATTACATATTGACACACTTTGGTTGTTGTAGAAAAACAAAGCAAAAAAATCTAAGTTTCTCTTTCATTTTGTACACATAAAGTGTGATTCGTGGCCTTACACAAGTTCTAGGTCATTTATGGATTCATTCAAATATTTGTTGAATTTCAGTTCTGTATCAGGCTCTTCTTAGCCACTTGAGCTATAAAAGAGCAAAATAAATATAGATTGTGCCCTAATAGAAGGTTCATTCCTGCCCTTATGAGCCAGCCTTTGAGGGGCAAGGTGAAAATCTAAATGATCCATGACTCCATAATTTCTTCTGTCTAACGCTCTCCCAACTGAGCTATTTCGGCGGCTCCTTGACTCCATAATTTCTGTTTCCTTAGATATTCACTGATCCTTTTATAAAATAACTCAATAACACTAATAGCTCCCCTTTATACAGTGGTAGAGATCCCTGTTGCCAGCAGCAGGCAAGGAGAATTATTTATTGATCGATGCATCTGTCTAATGGGAAAAAGATAAATCACATGATATGAAAGTCACCTCTTGCAATTGCTCTTGCTTTTTCCAACCACTTGTGAGAAAATGCTCTGTCTGGAGAAGTAGAACCAGGTTTTAGCTGCACAGGCAGGGGCAGGTCTTATTGCAGCTCTAGGCCTCATTTTCCTCACCTGTGAAGTTGTAGGGCTGATTGGGTCTCTTGAGGACAGTGCTGCTGTGCTTTGATCCTGCCCTGCCATTTATTCCATGTTTGTCCTTCACAGGTCTTTCCCAGGGAGGTCCTTAACTACACAGCTGAGAACATCTGCAAGTGGGCCTTAGAAAACCAACAGACACTCCTTCGATGGCTGCGGCCACATGGTGGAAAGAGTCTCCTGCTGAATAATGAACTGAAGAAAGGACCAGCCCTTTTTTTATTTATTCCTTTTAATCCCTTAGCTGAAAGTCATCCTTTAATAGATGAGGTAAGAGTTCTGATGTTAAAAGGTATCTGATAAGGAGTAGAAAAACCTCCATCACTTGGACTTCTCTCATTCTATGTTCAGAATAAATTTCCACGTGTAGCTGAGTGGTTGCTAGGAGTGGCAGTTGAGTTCCTAAGGTTACTCCTTTCTCCTGTAATGAGGCAGGAGAGCCAGGCCTAGGATAGGATCCACCAAAGCCTCTCTGGCCACGTTTACTGACAGCTGCTCAGGTCTGGATGAATTGGAGGGGACAGGGAAACCAAACCATGCCTCTCGAGAGAAGGACCATATGCTCCTCTTTCTTTGATGACTAATGTCAGGGAGTGGGATGGACAGCCACACAGGCAGGATTTAGTATGGCCTAGGACCGTGGTGGGCAAACTGCGGCTCACAAGCCACATGTGGCTCTTTGGCCCCTTGAATGTGGCTCTTCCACAAAATACAACGGCCTGGGTGAGTCTCTTTTGAAGAAGTGGTGTTAGAAGAAATTTAAGTTTAAAAAATTTGGTTCTCAAAAGAAATTTCAATTGTTGTACTGTTGATATTTGGCTCTATTGACTAATGAGTTTGCCGACCACTGGCCTAGGAGATGGTATTTTCATGGGGGCTAGTCAGTCTGCTGGCCTTTGCCATCTCAGCTCAAGAGCCAGGAGCAAATAGTGCTAACATTGGGATCTCTTATGCTTCTAAACCTTTCCTCTTAAACGCAGATAGCCAGAGTCTGACCCTCCCTCCTGCCTTTCTGCTTCATCTGGTGTACTCACTCTGTCTGGGGTGAGTTTATTTCATTCGTGGATCATTTGGAGCCACTTAGAGAGCAATAACAATCAGCAAAGAGCACCTGGGATTGCTAAATTGAATTTACTGGGGGTTTTTGTTTGTTTTTTTTTCTTCCCTCAAGGATCCCTTAATTTGGCCAAAATCAATTTCAGACAGCCATTTTACCACTGGCCAGGTTAACCAGACACTGCCTGTCCCCCGCCTGTCTGTGTGAGCCTAATGGTCTGCCTAGAGGGAATGGAAGGCAGGGTTCTTGCTCAGCCAGACCCTTCACTTGGTTCAAGTTATTATCCTTGCAAGGGGACATTCTAAATGTTCGCCTGCTATTCTGGTTTAGAGGAAGAAAGAAGAAATGAAGTAGCTTTGTTTCTGCTTTGATTAAGGAGGATTTGAAGTAATAAGACTTAATTTCTTTAGAAAATCTTTACATTTTATGAACTGAGACAATCTTCCAAATTATTAGGCCTTTACTGCATCTAATATTAAGAGCTTTAAAACTCTTTGTAGAAAAGGAGGGGTTTTCAAGCAAGATGTGGGTTTTTACCTTAACTTTTAAACTTTCCTTCTGGAGAATTTTATTTTGTTTAGTTTGGGCATACCAGGGTCTTGGGTGGGTGGTATTTTGTGACTGAAGCTTACTTCTGTGTTTAGGAGGTTGTGGTTGAATTTAGACACCTGGTGCAAGGACTCTTGCCTTCCAGCCCTTTGCTTCTGGCTGATTGTCTCTCCCCATCTCGCCTGACTCCTTTGTCTGTGGCGAGGCCTTCTGCTTATTACATTTTTGCCTTTGGCTCCTTTCCATAGGGATCATAGCATCCCTGCAAGGTGAATGGATTCCCTTAACCTGAGTGGTTAAAGTTGCTGAAAACCAGGTGGCATCTTAGCAGTATTGGGAATTACTTAGCAAGTAAAGTGTTCTGTGCAGTGTAGTTCCCTTTTTATTTCAGATCCGTTTAGGAGATGTTTACTAAGCACCATGTCAGGGAGCCACAGGGGAGAAAGTTGGGAAAGACACAGGCTTGGTTTCTTGGCCTCAGGAGCTTGTCCAATAGGGGAGCAAGAGCCTGCTTATAATTCAAGGTAGAGGAAGGTCTGGGTCAGGAGGAATTGAAGGATAAAGGGCTGTGTCCCAGGAAGCTGGGGACTGGGCAACAGAGGGGTTGGGAGAGGCAAGTATTTGAGACAGACCTTCATTGGTGGCCAGGGTCTTAATGGATTGAGAGAAATTTATGGGAAGGAACAGCTTGAGCAAAGGCACAGGGGTGGGGAAGTTTTGGTTTAGGTTTTAGGAAATAGTACTAATTGCCTGGTCTTTATAAATGGCTGACTGGAAAAGACCCCCCCCCCCAAAAAAAAAAAAAAAACTTTGGAAGAGAGGCCCTTAGGTGCTTCTTGGAGGATTTTAGCATTCATTGTAGCTATCAAAGTCTCACTCACTGTGTAAAAATGTCAGCAGAGCTGTGTGTTACTATTATCAAAGTTTTCTTGGTAGCAGTGTTCCATAAAAGAGAATAGTAAGATCCTGAACTTGGATGGTGGTGGTGGGATGGCAAGGGGGTAATGCCAGGGAAATAGTGACACTGACCAGAAGTCATTTGCATGAAGAGTGGGAGGAATGAACACACTTCCCAGGGTGAGTTCTAAATCATCAGCTCCTCAAACACAAAATAATTTAAGCCTTAATCCTTATTTTTCCATTACCACCTTTAGGCCTAATTTTGGGCAGACAGCTGAGGAAGTTTACATTGTGAGAAGAATGAGGTAATCATGGAATGAGGGTAGTAGAGTTGGGGGCTTGCCAAGCAAGGAAGTTTGGAGCAGCTGTAGCGGGCATTGTGATGGGGGTCAGTGAGACAACCATGTCATGGCCACACTGTGAGACCCAGTCCAGGACCAGGCAGCTGCTCCCACACTCGTACCCATTCTCCTCACAGGAGAGCATAGCCTGTACTGCATATAGCATCAGGCCATGACCCCTGAGGTCACTAGAGTCTAGAGAGGTCATAAGACATTTCAATGTGCTTATCAAAAGAGATGCTTCCGCAGCCAGTGAGTCTCTGTGACTTGTTTTCAGATCTCAGCCCTGCTTTGAAGCATTCACAGTCTGTGAGTTTGGTATGCAAAGGTGATTATCTTGTTCAGAATTTTTCTGATTAAAGAAATGGAATGAAGCAGTTACAGTGCAAACAAACTTATTTGCCAAATTTCCTTATTAGTTCACATGAAATTAAATATGGCATCAAATGATTTACATATGGGATGTAACTTGAACTGTAGTGTTCAAAACTGCCTATAATATAAAAGGAATATAGGCTTGGCTGGTGATTCTCAGTGGTTAGAGTGTCATTCCCTCCTCCCCCATACTGAAGGGTCTTGAATTCGATCCCTAGTTAAGGGCATGTGCCTAAGTTGCAGGTTTGATCCTTGGCCTGGGAATGGGCATGAATGGGAGGCAATCAATTGACAACTCTCTTCCTCTTTCATTCCCTCCCTCTTTTTCTCCCTCCTATTCTCTCTAAAAATCAATGGGGGGAAAATCCTAGGGTCAGGAATATTTAAAAAAGGAATATAAAAGTAAAAACTAGCTCACTTTATATGAGAAAAGTAAAAGTTCCTCATTCTTCAAGAGCATTACTCTATACAAAATATTTTCTTTAATTAAAAATATCCTTGATATGGCTGCTATGTGAGAGAGAAGAATGAAAGATGAGGGGAAAAAGACTTTTTAAGGAATTTTGCTGTAACTAATATACTCCTACTTGGATCTTTTGTAAAAGACTGTAGTAAATACTTGAGTTGGGAGGGGGGGAGGTGGTTTGGGTAGGAGTGGTAATGTACTATTGTGTCTTTGAATATTAAGAAGTACCAAGATGGGGCCAGAGGGCAGCTGGGCTCTTTATGGATTATAGAGGCCTGACCTTACTAGTATAATATGCTGTCAGGGCCTTATCCAAAAAGGGCTGAGAGGCTTATGTTGTTATGGGGAAGAAACAAAACACTGGTTATCATCTAAAATGATCTTTTTTGTGTGCCCAAGAACTATTCAAACTATTTTTTAGTACAAATGCATATGTCTTGGATTAATTCTCTCTATAAATATCATAAGTTACAAAATTTGGAGGTTTTTTGAAATTGGAAAGGCACTCATTAAATGGCCTTCACACACACGCACACGCACATGCACACGCACACGCGCACACATTTAATGAAAAATAATCCTGAGTGGCTTAACCTTTTAACTGACTTTGGCAAGATTTGATCCAAGTTAGCATATAATTCTATTTTAGAGAATAAATACAGTTTGGAATATGACTTGCTCATCTTTCTTTTGAAACTGAGGTAAGTGGTGGGTGGTGAAAGTTATTCAGTTTGGAAATGGAAGAGTCTTGGAATGAAATGTTAAATTTAAATTGCTAATACTGACCTGAGGGCAAATAGTTAATCTTACTAGGAAATGGGAGCATGCATGTGCCACTTGTTCACCATGTATTTATTGAGCATTTGTTTTGTGCCTGGCACTGTAATAGGCTCTGCAGATAGCAGGATAAATCAAATGTGATTTCTGCCCTTGAGGATTCATAGCTTGGGAAGAGGGGCATCTCAGCAAATACTTATGAGATACTTTGGAAAAGGCTCTGGAACCCTGAAGATGCAGAACCCAACTCTTCCTGGGATTAGGGATGGGGATAGCTTTCCTGAAGCAGCCACCCTGGTGCTGGGTCTGAGGGGCGGTATTGAAGTTTGTCAGTTGGAGTAGGTCCAACCAGGCATTTAAAGACATGGCATTGTGAGTGGCCCTGGCATGGTCTAAAGAGGGTAGGGTGACACCGGAAAGGCATATGCAGGCCAGATTATGTTAGATTTTTTTGCTACAGTTAATAAGGAGCCATTGAATGCCATTTACCAGAGGAGTCTCATGCTTAAGGCAGTATTTTTAAAACTAAGTGGTGCCCTAGTTTGGTTCAGTGGATAGAGCATCAGCCTGTGGACTAAAGGGTCCTGGTTCAACTCTGGCCAAGGGCATGGGCATCGGTTGCAGGCTTGATCCCTGGCCCTGGTCAGGGTGCTTGTAGGAGGCAACTAATTGATGTGTCTTTCTTACATTGATGTTTCTCCCTCTCCCTCTCCCTCTCCCTCTCCCTCTCCCTCTCCCTCTCCCTCTCCCTCTCCCTCTCCCTCTCCCTCTCCCTCTCCCTCTCCCTCTCCCTCTCCCCCTACCCCTACCCCTACCCCTACCCCTACCCCTACCCCTACCCCTACCCCTACCCCCCTCCCTCCCTTCTACTCTCTCTCAAAATCAATGGAAAAAATTCTCAGGTGTGAGGACTAATAAAACAAAAAAAGTGTTCACAGTGTGGAAGCTCAGTTAAAGTAGAAGCCAGAAAATGGTGGTCTGTGACAGCTGAGGGCCTGAATTGAGGCAGCGGCTATGGGAATGCAGTGAGGGACCTGCTTTCCCAAACTGAAGTCAGAACTGGCTGGATTTGAGGCCTGTGGTGAAGCAGAGGAGAGAATGTGAGGATTAACTGATTTTTCCAGTTTGATGATGCCCTTTCCCTGAAGAGGGTGGGTACCGGAGGAGAAAGAGATTATGGGGGAAGGTAGGATGAATGGGTATGTTTTGAGTTTAGACAAAGAAAGACATATGGAGGAGTTTTGTAGATGTAAAGGAAAATGCACTCAACTGGTAATTGATATTTAAATTCTTTTTCTGATTTTTCATCAACAACCTGTATGTATATTGTGGGGTGAGCCACTTTATGCCTCATGCTTTGTTCTTGTCAAATGATAAGCCAAAACATCTACCCTAAGATCCTTTTTGTTTCTAAACAGTTGGTTCACTATTGATTAGTAGAATGATATGTTCTGAAAAATAATCCTTGCCTCCTTATTTATAGATTTTGGTGTGACAGCTTTTGATTTGACACAGTGCTTCCAGCCAGGGTTCCTACTTGTGAATCAGATTAGGATGCTTTCTAGGCCTCTGTCATCCCACGCCTCATGAGTCCCACCCTGTGTTGCAGATCACCGAGGTGGCCTTGGAGTACAACAACTGTCACGGGGACCAGGTGGTGGAGCGGCTCCTTCAGCACTTGCGGCGAGTGGATGCTCCGGTGGTCAAGTCTCTGGCATCTGAGCCCCCAATTCAGCTGCTGGACCCACCGCTGATAACGGCGTCCCCCTGCTGCAACACTGTGGTGCTGCCCCAATGGCACTCGATCTCCAGGACCCACAATGTCTGTGAACTATGTGTCAACCAGACGGCTGTAGGCATTAGGCTGAGCTCAGTTAGTGTGCCACAGTGCAGCTTTCTTGAGATGGCAGCAGCTCTGGATTCTTTCTACCTCAAGGAGCAGGCCTTTTATCATGTGTCAGACAGCATGGAGTGTAGTAATTTTCTGAGCTCCTACAGCCCTTTCAGCTACTACACTGCATGTTGCAGGACTATGAACAGGGGCGTGGCAGGCTTCATTGATTCTGAACCAGATGTCTTCAAATCCCCAAGCATTGCATTTTCTTCACTCGAGAAGGAATGTGAGGTTGATATCCCAAGCTCTGTTCCTCACATTGAGGAGAACAGGCGTGTCTTTCCTGACGTGGACATGAATAGCACAAACTTCACAGGCCTGAGCTGCAGGACCAATAAGACCCTGAATCTCTACCTGTTGGATTCAAATTTGTTTTGGTTATATGCAGAAAGGCTAGGTGCTCCTAGCACCGCTCAGGTGAAAGAATTTGCTGCAATTGTTGATGTGAAAGAAGAATCTCACTATATCCTGGATCCAAAACAAGCTCTTATGAAGTTCACCCTAGGTACTATAGACACTTTCCTTCTCCAAGCACAATTAAGTTTGCATAACTTGATATAGGTAACTTCTATCTGGGGATCTCATTACATTTGGTCATGGGGGTGATGTCAACTCTTTAGCTCATTTGAAATATTTAGGCTACACTTGGTCATAATTTATAAGAAGCTAAGTTTGTCTATTAAATGGAACAGAAACTTACAAACTCAAAATTTTTGGTAAGTTTGTTATTTAGACCTTGGGGGTAAGAGTCCAACATTCCAGATTGGCAGTACCTATCACATTTCTAAGGTAGGGAGAGCTGCAGTGGTAGAAACCTGGCCACTGTGATGGCGAGCCCTTTTGGTGCAAATGTCCCATGGGTCTGATGAGTGTGAGTCCTAATAGCAGCTTCATTCTCAAGGAACTTAAACAGAAAGTTTGTCTCAAAGATTTAAATTTATAAGTGTCAAGGCCTAGTTCTTTTATAAGGGTTGGGAAATGCTGCTGTGACCTTGGGTGCCTAGATTGTAATAACAAGTGTCAGGTTGCAAACCACCTTTTGGGGGATACAACCTATTCATTATAGGAGAGGTTGCCCTTGAGACTACTAGGGGCTTGACAGTTGCAGTATCTAACCCACACTGCCATGTTCCCAGGACATGCTGACATCCTTGGTATACGCACAAGAAAGTGAGAATTCAAAAGCCATGTTAGTTCAGCCTCATTGGAAACACCAGGGAAAGTCAGTGTTTGCCAAATGGAGACAGGAGGAATTTGGTAGGGAAAGAAGCCTTTTGTTTTCAAGTTTTAGGGAGTATTAGAAAAATAAAGTTAGAGCCCTAAGTAACAGTCCTTTCAGCTGTCTTTTTTAGAGTCCAGGTGAAGCTTGTTTCTTCCATTAGACACATTTGAAAAGGCTTATATCAATATGATTTTGTTCTATATCAAGTTATATGTTACTAGAGGCCCAGTGCACAACATTTGTGCACTGAGGTAGTGGGGGAGTGTCCCTCAGCATGGCCTGCACTCTCTCGAAGTTTGGGACCCCCTCACTCTTGACCATCCCCCTGCAGGGGAGGTGGGAGAGGTTCTCATCACCACTGCTGTGCTCAGCCTGTGAGTCTGGTGCCCCCCCTGTGGGAGGGCATGATCACCAGGGGGCAGCTCCTGCATTTAGTGTCTGCCTCCTGGTGGTCAGTGCACATCATAGCGACTGGTTGTTTCGCTGCTTGGTCCATTTGCATATTAGGGTTTTACTATATAGGATAAACAGGAAGGCACCTGAGTGTTTAAAGGACCCTGTGACCTGTGTATTCTTATTAATTTCTGAAATTCCTTCCAATTCATGTTTTTTTTAAGTTGCAGTTTGGTGTACTGAGTTTTCATAAAATGAAATAAGCCTGTATTTTTTTTTTTTTTTTTAAGAAAGTGTTTATTGAATTCTGTTCAGTTATACCCAAGTACTCAATGAGCTCATAATGTGGTCACTTTGAATTTAAAGGTAATCTGAAAGAAGCCTCCTTAAGATTGCTTTTCATCTTCTGTATCTATTCGGGAACATTGAGCTAAGTTGTTCTTTGTCCTGAAGTTGGTGACAAAAATAAGCGTCCTTGTAAAAACAAACCACATATACTGGGAGTCATGGTCAGGAGAGCTGACTCTTTAAGTCAGCTGTCTCTGGGGGCAATCTCAGAATTTAGGGTTCATATAGAATAGGAAATAATTCTTGGTTTTATGTTTCAAAATACCCAAGTAAGTGTTATTCAGTGCTGATAATGAATTCTCTTTAGCATTCACGTGACATTCTTCACTTCCTCCCCCTCTGCAGAACTTCACATTGTTCATTTAAGACCAAAATGGAGAGAGTTACTAGTAGATGAAAGAACAGGAAGTGAAACTCAGATTAGTGCTGTTTCAGATGATACAGTGGCCTTCTCCGGGAGGGTAAAACTTCGTTCAAGTTAGGTTTTTAGATTATGTTTTTTTAATGTGCTTTTCTGCTAAGTATATTTGAGTTTATTCTTTTTAACCTTCTAAGAAAGAAACTTGAAGAACTTCAGTATAAGAAACAAAAACCTCAGCTCCTTGTCCTCAAATTAATGAGTGTTAAACTAATACGTTACAGTAGACAGGTGCAATTACTGCATGTATAGTTATACTTAAAAGTTTTAGTATTGTAGATTGAAATATCTTAAAAGATGTGTCATGTTGATGATTTATGCAGTCTCAGGTGTCTTGTTAGGGAAAAAAAGCCAGGATATTAGAATATCTAACATGCATGGTGTTTTGTTATCTAAATTACTGAGTTAATACCACCAAACTAAACCTGGTGCCACCCTGGGCAGCTTTGTTCAGGGTTTTGCATGTAGCTGAAGTGTTAAAAATGTGAGCCTGTGAAGTCATCCCAATTTTTAAAATGTAGAGTTTAAAGTAGGCCAGCTACTCTCCTTGTACTTAGAGAAGAGTTGATCTCATTTTCTCTTTATTTTTAGAGTCTTTTATTCAAAACTTCAGTGTTCTCTACAGTCCCTTGAAAAGACATCTTATTGGAAGTGACTCTGCCCAGTTCCCTTCTCAGCATTTAATCACTGAAGTGACAACTGATACCTTCTGGGAAATAGTCCTTCAAAAGCAGGTATGGGTCTGGTTAATGTGGCTCAGTGGTTGAGCATCAACCTATGAACCAGGAGGTCATGGTTCGATCCCCAGACAGGGCACATGCCCAGGTTGTGGGTTCGATCCCCAGTGGGAAACATACAGGAGGCAACCTATCAATGATTGTTTCCTGTCATTGATGTTTCTATCTCCTCCCTTCTCTCTGAATTCAGTAAAAATATATTAAAAAAAAAAAAAAAAAAAAAAAAAAAAAAAAAAAAAAAAAAAAAAGCCGGCCCAGAATCATGAGAAAGGCAGAAATCAAGCCATCTACCCTATTAAAATTATCTCTAGTCCTGGCTGAGTTACTCAGTGGTTAGAGCATTGAACCAAGGGTTCTTGGGATTAATTCCTAATCAAGGGCATGTACCTTGGTTGCAGGTTCAATCTCTAGCCCTGTCAGGGTGTGAATAGGAGCCAACCAATGTGTCTTTTTCATGTCCGTTGTTTTTTCTCCCCCCCCCCTCCCCCCCCAACTTCTGCTGTCTCTAAAAGGTTGATTTTGAAAATTAACCACATGATAGTTTTATTACAGGACGGGTGTGTGAATTACGTGGGATTTCTAATTGCAAAAGTCCTTAAGATAGTACATAATTGGAAACATCTGAATATTAATTTTTTTCACTGTAATATATACACAAGCAGCATTATTGAATGCCTATAGGGTTCTAAGAACGAGGAGCCCAGTCACAGCCATCTTCCCTTTCCCACAGGATGTTTTGCTGCTGTATTATGCACAGTGGTGTGGCTTCTGTTCTTCCCTCAATCATGTCTTCATCCAGCTAGCTCGCCTCCTGCCAACGGATACATTTACTGTTGCAAGGTAAGGAAGCCTGTTCTGCAGCACCTTTGGCTGTGTTCCTGTCTTCACTCTTCCTTATAGCTTAGCCTATGGTTTGCAAGGGTTTGCCCATTTTTCACTAACTTTGGGAAAGACTTGGTTGAATTTAATTATCAGCTTAAAGTCATGAGCAAAACCTCATTGAAACCAAAGATTTCCAGAAGAATTCTGAGGGTTTTTTTCCCATGTTGTTTAGCCCTGATTGAATTCATAGGAGGGTGAGTGCAGTTCTGTGGGAGCAGTGCTGACCTGGTTGTTAGGACAGCCCCCTGGAGAGGCCAGCTTCCTGGAATACCACAGGAAGGGTGCCTTGGAGTTGCATAGCACTAGGGCCTCGGCCCACTGAAAGGAGGCCAGTCCCCAGTGTGCTGCCAGTCGGCCCTGGGATCTGGAGTAAATCTCTCCACCAGGCCTTGTTTTTCTCCCCATTTGTAAAATTGGAAGGAAAGATTGGTTGATATCCACATGTCCTATTTTGTGATTCCGTGGAAACTGTATGTGATCTCTTCAGTAAACAAAAAATTTTAAATTGTGTTTTGTAAAAACAAGGCTCAAAGAGGTTTTGGATAAGGTAGAAAGCAGTTTTTGGGGAAAATTATTTAGATATAAGGTATATCTTCTCTCTTCTCCAGATAGATTAGAATTAAATATAAAATTTCAAATCACAGAGAAAAAAAAATAGAAGATAGACTATTGGATTGGCTAACTCCTTTGAGAGATGAAAACTTTCCAAAGTGAAGCAGTTTAAAAAAATAATGAAAGTGAACAAATTCCACTAGAAAAAATGAGCAGTAAAAATAAATAAGGAAAACAGACAAAAAAAAAAGATAATAGTTGTATTTTATGGCATATATATTTCACCTATTATATATTCTGTAAGTGATGAGAGCCAAATTTGAGGTGTTATATTGCTAATATATATATACACACACACACACACACACACACATATATATACTTAATCTCAGAACATTCAGTGAAGCAGACATGAGTATCACTCTCTTTTTACTGAGGAAGAAACTGAGGCACAGAAAGATTAGGTAACTTGCCCAGAGTCACATAACCCGTGAGGGAACAAGATTCAGAATCAAGTGTTCATCCTCCAGACCCCGAAAAATTAAAATGGTTTAAGAAACTGCTAAGAGTACTGGTTCATACAATGGAGTACAGCCTTAAAATGGAAAGGAATTCTGACACACACTACAACATGAATGAACCTTGAAGACATAATGTTAGGTGAAATAAGACACAAAAGGACAAATACTGTATGGTTCTTGAAGCACCAAGAGTAGTCTGACTCATAAAGACAGAAAGTAGGATAGTGGTTGTCAGGGTTTTCAGGGAGGGTAGAATGGAAAGTTGTTTAATGGATACAGAGTTTTGTTTTGTAAGATGATGGTTGCACAGCAGTATGGATGTATGGTATTTAATACTACTGAACTGTACATTTAGAAATGGTTAAGATCGTAAGTTTTGTGTTACATATATTTTATCATAATAAAAAACAATGGTGAGGGGGTGTGGAGAAAAGCTAAGAGAAATTCCAGTATGAAGAAAGGACATGAGCCCTGGCTGATGTTACTCAGTGGTTAGAGCATCAGCCCACGCACCAAAGGGTCATGTGTTTAATTCCCAGTCAAGGGCCTATATCTGGGTTGCAGTTCGATCCCTAGCCCCAGTCAAGGTGCATGCAGGAGGCAACTGAACAATATGTGTGTATGTGTCTCTCTCTTCCCCTCCCTTCTTCCCTCCCACTCTCTCTAAAAACCAATGGAAAACATATCCTTGGGTGAGGATTAACAAAAAGAGAAAAGAAAAGGCATAAACAGGTTTTCATGTAGGAGGGAAAAGTAAATAAACAAGTGGGGAAATTGCAATAAGTTTCATTTATGCTTAATAAATTAACATGCTTTTATTTATTATTTTTTGAAAATATATTTTATTGATTTTTTTACAGAGAGGAATAGAAAGGGATAGAGAGTTAGAAACATTGATGAGAGAGAAACATCTTTCAGTTGCCTCTTGCACACCCCCTCCTGGGGATGTGCCCGCAACCAAGGTACATGCCCTTGACCACAATCGAACCTGGAACCTTTCAGTCCATAGGCTGATGCTCTATCCATTGAGCCAACTGGTTTTGGCTAAATTAACATGCTTTTAAATTACAGAATCTTGCTTTTATAAAATAAAGTGAAGTTAGCATAGTTAGATATAGCTAACAGAATAAATAAATTGGCATAACTTTTTTGAAAGCATTTTAGCAACAATGTATGAAATAAAAAAAATAGTTGCGCATTTTTGACCTAGTTAATTTCACTTTGGGGAAATAAGGAAACAGAACTTCCATAGTTGCATGAGATAGTCATGGTAACATTATTTATATAGCAGTAGATTAATGGTTAAGTACATTATGGTTGGGCATTTGGTGGAATTTTGAGCCACTTATTAGAACAATGCTTTGCATACAATTAATGGAAAAGAATAGAGGATAAAATATATGATTACTGCTCTTAACAATATGTAGGCATGTATATCAAGCCAAAATGAGAGTCCCAGAAAGAAGGTCCTGATTAGTCCAATAGAATTCTGAGTGGATGTTTACAAATGATTTTCTTTTAATTTTACAGTTTGGTCTTCCTTTGAAGCCAAAGTCAGGAGGAAAAAAGCATTGTAGAATAAAGTATTCATCACTATTTGTTTAAAAAATGGAACTCAAATGTTTTAAGTAGGTAGGAATGTTGTTTTATTAGTAAAGCTGTTTAAAACCATTTTAATTTGGTTATGTCATTTTTTAAAAAAGTAAATTTTATCCTTTTGGACAAATGGCACTAACCCCACCAGTACTTTTTGAAAATTTCTGTCAAGTTAATGAGTCAAAACATTTCCATCTTTTGTATGCACTATATGTAAGAATAGGGTTGAGCGGCCAGTTCCCTCTAGAATATTCTTTTTATGCAATCTTAGCCCCAATATGTCCCACTTATAGCTAGCTGCAGGAGGGGCCGCCACCTACTTCAATAGTAATTAAACACAGGTAGGTTGGGTAATTTAGCACAGATGTCCTTTTCTGTATTAAAAAAAATTAACTTTAAATCTGCTAAGAAAATACACCTTTTTGGGCCTCTGTCCAGATTTACAAAATATAAAATATAGCACTTCTTTTCCAATTTCTTTTTTTTTTTTTGGTGCCCTCTCTGAAGCTTTTTTCCAATTTTCTTGCATCTTCAGAGATGTTTGATGTATTTTGCATAATGATTTCCTTTGTTTTTTTCAGAACTAATTTAGGAATTAAAGTATTTGTCCAGCTGAAACCAGTTTGGCTCAGTGGATAGAGCGTTGGTCTGTGGACTGAAAGGTCCCAGGTTCAATTCCGGTCAAAGGCATGTACATTGGTTGCAGGCACATCCCCAGTAGGGGTGTGCAAGAGGCAGCTGGTCGATGTTTCTAGCTCTCTATTCTTCTCCTTTCCTCTCTGTAAAATAAATGAATAAAATATATTAAAAAAAAAAAAAAAAAAAGTATTTGCCCAGATCCTGTCAAATAGGTGGGACTACTCCAAAGTTGTCAGTGAGGCATTTTTTGGGAAGTTCATTTTTACTTTCATAACTTTACATTTCTACTCAGTAAGTGAAGTGGGAAGAGTCATGTCATGGAAGTATTAGTGCATCTGGCATGAACTGTGTCTAATTTAAACGTAATGGTGCACTCACCAAGAAGGGGCTGGTCAAAGAAAATGCTGTAGGATTTTCAGTTATTTGACAAGGTTCTTTCAGGTCAGAGTTTTTTCACAGATCTTTTTCTTTTCTTTCCCTTTTCTAGGATTGATGTATCTCAGAATGATCTTCCTTGGGAATTTATGGTTGACCGACTTCCTACTGTCTTATTTTTTCCTTGTAACAGGTAATGCAGAATTTTTTTCAATATTTGGACAGATGGGATTCTTTTACTGAAAATGAAGTGGATACTTAATGGAAGTGAAATGTGAATCATTAGTTATTACTAAATTACTTTGAATAAAATGTATTGTGCAAAAAAATGTGCTCTTAGGGATGAAAGGTAAAACAGCTTTAGTGTCACATTATGGTGGTGGTGGTGTGCGTGTTTTTTTTTTTAAAGAAGCTTGCCCCTCCCTGAGCATGTGTTTTACACCAGCAAAGATGTCATCATTAAAACTCATTTGCTTTCTTGGCCTTATGAGCATATCATGGATGCCAAGATTGACAGCAGAGAGCCCCACATTCCTCTGGGCAAAACATCAGGCACCTATTGAGCCTTACAAAGTGTGTTGGTCCCGCCTGTCCAAGATTTCATGTGTATAATTTCTTCTCATTGAGTCTGGCCATGACTACCTTGTTTCTCCAATGCAAAGAGGAAATAGGGGTCAAGGAGCCTTTTCCCAAGTGTGCAGACTTCAGTGAACATCTACCACAGGGCTGTCATCTGGATCTCCTCATATTTGTCAGGGTGCTACTCCAAGTTCATTGATTACTGCTACTATTCTGAAAGCCCAGAAAGTAGGGTGAACATTTATCAAAAGGAATATGAATTGGCATTTAGCATATGTGGATGTGGATGTTTTGGTAGAAAGGGAAATTAACTCTTGGCCTTTCAAAGCCAATAAACCAGATGTTCTCTCCCTTTTTACAGATTTCCCTTTTGTTATTAAAGGGATGGGTCCTTGGGGACCCAGTCACATGGCTTTACTGGGAAAAAGCATTTGCTGGGTTATTTCAGTGAGGTCCCTAACTCATATATGACATTTACTGCTTTAATTTCCTGCACTCTTGCCATTTATTGTAGCCACTACCTTGCTTTTTGTGTTTTGCCAGGAGAGTGCTTCCTTCATACATACTGAATCATTTCCTTGTTTTTTCCTCTTTATCTCAAAGATTTTTTTCTGGAATACTTCCTGTGGTAGTAGAGTCTTGTCAAATCGCACACTAAAAGCAGAGCATGACTCACCCTATTGTACTACTGGTTGTGTCATGAGGACCCTTTTCTTTCTAAGGAGCTTTAAAGAGTCACACAGTCACAGGATCATGGACAATAACACCAGCAATTCCATCTGGATGGGTCAGAGGTTGGGCATGAAATTTAATGAAACATAATTTTAGAATTCCAAACACAGTTTAGGAAAGTATTAAAGCCATAACATCCAGCTCTGGCCTTTGCATAAAGAAGTTCTCAGCAACTAGAATCCATGAATATATATTAGGAGACAGGGAAAGACACCCAGAAACTTGGTGGTAGGGAGTTGTGTGTTTGGGGGCCTGAGTCTGGTTTGAGTAGCTTTCATTCTAAAGTTGTCTGATGTAGTCAGCATGGAGGTGAGATTGTTTTCCACACCCACGTTGGGGTCACTGCAGCCCCTTGGTATATTCCTTGAATTGAAAAATCAAGAAGGTAAATATTGAACATGAAAAGACTGTCCAGTTCTATTTTAATGGAAAGAGCTTACTTGATCAACTAAAACAACACTGCTTTGGAATGGAATTGTACTTATTTCCTCAAAATAAATTATAATCAGAAGTAAATGCCTCATTACCTCGTCCAAAGTGAGTGTTCAGTTTACTCAGGAAGTAAATGGCAAAGGATATGAGCTGACAGCTCGAAAAAGAGGAAATAAAAAAGACTGATTGATAACATGTAACAAGACCTTTTTCACAGTTATTTTTAGTGAAAAGAATATAAAATATGTTTTGATAAAAATACAAATTTGCACTGGTTAAAATGTGTACATAAGGGAAGAAAAGATGTCAAGATGTTGACAGTGATTGAGGATTACAAGTGATCTGATGGTACCTCTTGTGTGCTTTTTGCATCCTTTGCAAATTGTCTATAGTGAGCACATCTTATTTTATAATCATTAAAGGAAACCATATGAAAGAACTTGTCCTCTCACCCAGTATGCAATTCAGCCCCTCCTGCTCCTGGCTAGGCCAGCCTTCCTGTTCAGGGGCATCTTAGAACTACCTTCCTTCCACCACTATGTGTGATATTTCAAAATATAGGTGCTGTGGCCCCGCTCTGGGCTGGGATATCAGAAGCATGGCAGGGTTCATTCTAATGTATCCCATGAGGAAGGACCTTACTTCTTCAGAGAAGCAGGCCCATTCTCCCTCGGTATGAGAGCCCCTTCTTTGGAGTAGAGCCTTAGACCCCATTTGTCATTTTTAAAATCTGGCCTTTTACTTGCCAGAGGTGCATAACCATGCTCCTAGTGAATTTAGAGGAGAGTCAGGTAAATAGTGAGACCTCTACCACCACACTTTCAAAGTGATTATTTTTTTTTTGGAAGCAGTTTGTTGACACTCTTTCCTTGCTACTTATAAAAAGGTTGGAAGCATTTCAACATACTCATCAGGTAGATTCATGGAGATTGCTCCAGAAACTCTAAAATGGCATTCTTAGAAATGTTTTCTGTCTGTAACTGTCTCCAGATACATACACTGGTCTCTCAGCAGCTCTTTCCCTGGGCAGTAATTCACATTTACTCTCTGCCCGGTTTGTGCTGCAGATCAGCCTCTGCTTGTTGCTCCTCGCCTGCAGAGGCCAGCTGAGAATGGCTGGGAGGCCCCACTTAAGACAGCTTGCATGTTAAGAAGATTATGCTTTAAAGAGGGCGTGGTTATATACTTATCCCCAAAATGTTTGAAATTAATCCATTTACCTAAAAATGTCCATTAACATTGTATAAAAATGGGGCACATCTGATTTTAATTTTCCTGTGATTTTTATTTCCTAGGGAAAGTAATAGAACACCTCTTATCTTTTCTTAGATATTTGGCCACTGGCTCTGTGTATGAAGAGGGTGTACAAGCTTTTAATGAATGGTTTCTGGTTTTTCCAAGGAACAGGTTTTTTTTAAGCTGACATTCATTGAGCATTTGGGTAACTTGTGTAATCCTTGCAGCAGTCCTGTGAGGGAGATGGTGCTCTTGTTAACCTTTTATAGATGAGGCAGTGGAGGGACATGGAGAAGCCACTTTTCTGGGACCTCCTGACAGTGAGCAGTGGCACTGTGAGTTGGCTCCAGACAGGCAGCTTCCAGAGGTGCTGCTCTTAAACTCCATTTCTTTAATACTAAAAGTGACAATAAACATTATTTGTCCAGCTCATACATAAAACTAGTGGTTTTGATGTATTGCAGCCAGGGTGTGTACCATTATATTCAGGAAAATATATCTGTGGTAGAAATTTGCTCATCAGACAATTAAATAACAAGTTCTAAAAAGGAATTTTCTACAAATGGAGTTGCAGTGAAGCTTTGGGCAAACCCCCTTTTCATGTCACCCTCCCTCCTTATCATGTGTTCTCAGGACCAGGTAGCTTCAATTCCTTTGTTTGTCAAGGGTCAGGGCTCCAGTAACAACTTCTCCATCATGGCTATCAAAATGTCTTCAGGTGTTGTCAAATGTCCTTTGGGGGCGGGGGAAAGATACAGTCACCCCCAATTAAGAACTCCTGCCTTGTATAATATGGAATACATGCTAGCTGAAGAAACTGAGCTGTGTTTCAGGTTTTTCCTATTTTACCAAGCATTGTTGATGGCCACAGAAGTGATGGGGGACAGCCCTGTGCCAGGACACCCTTTCTGACATGTCCCTGGGCCTCTCAGAGTGTATAGGCCATTCTGCCCCTGCATCACTGGCTTTAGGTTTAGGCCTGAGAGCTCTTGTCTTTCTTGGAAGGTTGTGAATAGAAACAGCTCTTTGTCCTTAGCAACAGGCCTGTTTGAGATAAGCCACCTTAATTACAGAATGAGCATGTGGCACATCCTCAGCTTTGTAGAAAAATTTTTGTCCTAACAGCATTTTCCTTGCTGATTTCAGTTAAGTCCAATCCTCAGAATATCTTTTGTAGGAAATAAACGCCCTGACCTTCAGTAGCAGTCTGGTTTTGGACTAAACATCTTGGTGTGACTCTCATCTTTGACTCTTCCCTTTCTCTTCAGAAAGGACCTAAGTGTGAAATACCCCGAAGATCTTCCCATCACCCTTCCAAACCTGCTGAAGTTCATTTTGCATCACTCAGATCCTGCTTTTATCCCCCAGAACCTGGCTAACCCTCCTACCAAAGAGTGTCTTCAGAGGGAGGCAGTCTTACAGCAGCACATCTCCCATTTGGAGAGAGAGATCCAGAAGCTGAGGGCTGAAATCAACACTCTTCTGCGAGCGCAAATGCAGGTGGAGGCTCAGCTTTCCAGTGCACGCAGGGATGAGCACCGGCTGCTGCTGCAGCAGCAGACCTTGAAGAAGCAGCACAGCTTGCTCCAGCTGCACACTGAGCAGCTGCAGACCCTGTATGAGCAGAAGACCAGGGAGCTGGGGGAGGTGGCCCGGAAGCTCCAGGAGCTGGCCGACGCCTCAGAAAACCTGCTCACGGAGAACTCATGGCTCAAGATCCTGGTGGCAACCATGGAGCGGAAACTGGAGAGCAAGGACGGAGCTGAAAATCTCGATGCCCCGGAGGAGGAGGAGGCACACTCTGACTATCCTGAGCCCTCCGGGTCCCCCCGGTTACCTGGCAGCACCCCTCCGCCTGCCAATATCAGCTCCCCGCTGGCGGCTGAAAGGAGCAATGAGAATAGGACAGACTAACTTTTTAAGCAACATGAAGAAATCAGAGGTGAAAACTGTACATTGGGAATATATTTATGCAAATTTTATTGAAATTTATTGTAAATAAAGATTTTCTCAGTGGTCTAGAAAATCAATGTGAATGTCATTCAGCTTTTATTGAACAGGGATGACATCCCTTCCACTTATTGCACAAACTTGGTAACTGAGACAAAAACAGTAGCACAGTCCATCTGAAGGTTTGTCTGAAAAATTAGTCCATATTTTAGTGGCTGCGTCAGAGTTCCCTCTCCATTCTCCTATTGTTGCTTCTGTGATGACATACAGGATGAAATGTTAATTTCTTGACTGACTAGTCAGAAAACTTGAACACAACAGTAGGCAATTCAGAAAGAATTTAATGAGAGGTCATAACTTACTAAGCCAGTTGAGTGTGTGGCTCTGGTGTCTACACTAAAAAAAGTAGCTATTGACAAATAAGAACAGTGAGAGCTATTGTGTGGTTGTTCGCCAGTTCTACAGACACTTTCACTTTCCTCCCAGAGACCCCCATGAGTGCCCCACCATGCCTGTGACCCTCACCTGGCACTGTCACCATGCTGATGGGATGGGCCTGACTCAAGCTGCAAAGATGTCATCCCTGGCAACCAAGGAGTTGAATAAAGGACTTCCAGATGTGAAACTAAAGAGAAAGCAACATTTCAACATTTCAAAACCCAAACTTCACTGGCTTGGTAAAAACCTCAGGGTAAGTCTGACAGTCAAGTGATGGTCATTTTCAGAGCCAGGCTCAGAGACTGAAAATGCAAGTCCCAGGTGCCTCCTGGGTTACTAGGATGAAAGACAGCCTAGGTGTAAGCTGCTGGCTGCAGAAAGTTAGAGGTAGAAAGCTTGGAAGTTCTGGAATGCGAGGGGAATGGATCAAATGCCCCTACACCTTCCGTTTTTCTTGAGCATCCTTCATTAAAAAGCAAATCTCCCTGATTTTCAAGTCGGCACCTTTGGAATTTGTCTCCACTCCCAGCCCAAAGGGAAAGGACCTCTGCTGATTTCCAACTTAAGTTTCATGCTTGGCCATCCTCAGTTAAGGGCCAGCGACATTTCTCCTTGCCTTCAACTCAAATTGCCTAACTGCCCATATCCCTCTCTCTAAGCTATTAATGTTTGACCCCCAATTTAAAATTATGGTGCTAAAACAAGAGCTCCCTAAGTTCCCTCCTTGGGGTTCTGGAAAGTAGATTAGTTCAACATGCTTTTTAGAGGAGACCTGAATGAAGCCATAAGTAAGCTGCCCTCAGCCTGACCAGGAGGCCAGGGCTCCTCTGATGGTGAGAGCTGGTGGGCAAGGCTGAGGGCCTCCTGGGAGCTCCATGCCCATGCTGCTGGCAGGCTACTCAAGTGCTAAAGGCCACTGCACTGAGGTTAAAACAAGGCTGGCCTCCAGTTTATTACCCAGGACACCGACATAAGTCCTAGTTAATCGTGACAGTTAATGTGTTTACAGTGGTAGAATAAAAATCCAAGTGATTTTATACAAGGGACACCTTGGAGATGCAGGCTGTGGAGGCACTGGCCCGATTCAAAAGCCACTAACACCTCATCTTTTTGAAAACTTAAGTGCAGGACTGGAAACTCACTCTCCCCCTCCCCCGTTCCCCGAGGTGCTCACTAAGCACAGACAGTCAGGGCACTCCTGGGGCTCCTGTGTACATGAACATACATGTCCTTCCACTGCACTTGGTGCTCTCGTGGAGTCAGGGACTCTCCTTCTAGGACAAGGGTGGGAACCTTTTTTCTGCCAAGGGCCATTTGGATATTGACATCATCATTAATGGGCCATACAGCTTAAAGGTTAGCCTGCTACATTTGGTCAAACATTTAACTCATACCTAATGCCTTGGCAGGGCCACACAAATGATTTCATGGGCCTTATATGGAATTGTGGGCTGGACGTTCCCCACCCCTGTTCTAGGTGATCTGCTGAGGAAAGTAAAATCCAGTATCCAGTAGATGAGTAGTAAGAAAGGAAACTAATTAGTGAAAAGGGAAGGAGTGGAGGAAACCCCAGTCCCCTCCCCCTTCTCTTCAGTGCAGAAAGGATTAAATACAACAAATAAAAACCACAATTTTCTCTCCTGGGCCAAATGGGTTTCGGATAAAAGCCACTGCCTGCTCACTAAGCCTGTGCTAAGTAATGCCCGGTGGGGGTGGGGGTGAGGGTGGGAAGGGGACAGAGTGCTCAGCATGCTCAAGACCAGGGGGCAAGAAACTGCTCTGCCACTAGGATGCCTGGCAGCCCTCAGGACGTGTGCCTGACTCGTCCTTCACTGGCTCCCAAGCAGCTGCAGTAGCTTCCTTGCAATATCAACAGCAACTGGTATTTAAAGACTGAACCTACCTAGAGAAAGACAGTGGTGTGGTTCTCCCATCTATTGCTAACCAAGCAGAAATCACCACAGCACCCCAACCGGTCAGCTCTGAAACTTAAAAGACACATAGATTAGAGGCCCCTGCCAAGTGCAACTTGGGCCTTACATGTCCAAGACCCTCCCACAGTCTTGACTCAGCTTATTAGTACGGTGAATCCCCTGTATACTATGCAGTATTTTTTTTTTTAAATCAGCAAAAAAAGTTTAAGCACGTGCTTCTGGGTCCTATTTACAGTTCACAGGTTTGTGAGTTTACGCGTTACAGTAGTAGCGCCATCAAAACAGGCTCAGCTAAACATTCAAGTAACGAAAGCAAGGTCAGGTCTGCCCACTGCCTGCAATGGGCAGCCCCACCAGGAGGCAGAGGGAATGCCCAGGGCCACCAAGTCCTGGCTTAGGACGGCTGGGACCCCAGGAGTCAGTGCATGCGATAATGAAGCCCGGCGAGGCCATGCCAGCGTCAACCCCTCCTCTCAAACGGCAGCACGTCTGTGGTTTTCCCCTCCCACGCCTCTTGGCTGGCTGCAAACAGGCCCAGGATGCCTTCGCATCCCAGCTCAGCCGTGCACTTCTTGGCCGTTGGGGGTCAGCTTGGCCTTCCTCTCCACACACGGTCCCTTGGCTGAGTACTGCACCAGCAGGAAGGGCTCCTTGGTGTCGCCATCCCCCACGATGCTCTCCTCGTCCTCTGACTGGCTGATGCGCTGCAGCCGCAGGTAGCACCAGCAGCCCAGGATCAAGGCCCCCAGGGCAGCGATGGCGATGAGGATGACGATGACTGTGACCACGCCCGTGGTGGGGCTGTGATCCATAATAGACATGGTCAGCGCTGGGGGAGGCTTCCTCAGCAGGGAGGTCTGTGGGTGACAGGCTCAGTGAGGCTGGAACTCAGGCTGGACACGAGAGCCCTGAAAGACAAAGCGACATGAGGCTCCACTAGGGACTCTGCAAGGTACCCACCTGGACAAGCTCACATTGGCTCTTCCACCGGGTCTATTTTTAATCCGTTGTGAAGCCTGACCATCCTGCCCTCATCCTAGTGAAAACATGCTGGTTGGCTTTTGTTGTTTCGTTGCCTGTGGTGTTACCAGCCTTCTCCTTACTCACCCTGGCCCACTTCCATTCACTGTCTCTGGAGCTTCTGCTACCAGATAGGCGGCCACCCTGGCTCAGCCACAGAGCCTGACATGTGGAGGAGAAGGGTATGTATAACCTGTGACCCCACAACAGCCTAGAAAGAGGGTCTGTGTAAGGTGAATGTTCTGGAAACCCAGCACCGCTAGGTGTTCACAGCAAGATGAGTGATTTGACAGCAGGGAAGTTTGATTTGACAGCAACCTCATTTGAACAAGTGGTAGCACAACCAAGTCTTTAGGAACACCTGTGAGAGGGTGCAGGAGATGACAGTCTTTGCCCCTAGGAGAACAGCAGCTGCCTGGGAAGAGCCTGGATCCACTATACCATCTGAGAGGGAAGCCAGGCAGCAAAGGAAGCCAGGAAGATGGAGGCACTCAAGACAGACTTGCTGATGTGCTGCAGCCACCCTCCTCAAGCTCAGCTTCTGGTGTAGGAGCCAGACTACAAACAGGCCAATATACCAAACACCCCTCACGACAAATGCAGGAATGCCATGCCAGCACAAAAGGGGACCAGGTCCCATGATGCTAGACTGGGTGGGGCAGACATACTTAGGGAGGCAATGCTGATGCTAAGATGTGCATGAAAAGCCAGCCCTTGGGAACAGCATCTGCTAAGGCTCTGAAGGCAAGAGAGGGCCTGCAGGCAAGTGCAAGGAGCTGAGGGTGCTGGTCGTGGAAGTTGGAGCATCAGCTGATTTGGGTGAAGGTGGGAGGGGGTGTTCATGTACTGGACCACCATTTCCTGGTCTCCTAACCTCAGACAACTCCACAGAGCCCCCTGTTAATGGGGTGAGGGGTAAAGGAGAGTGCAGCTGTGGGAAGTGCAGAAGACTCTATAGCTGAGGCCACTAACAGCCCTTTGAAATTCAAATGCTGAAGCTAGCAGGCTCCCCTGGGTCCCACGTGCCTGCACTTTTTTTTCTCACGTCTCACCATAAGCAGAGCAAATAACAGTAACTAACCCCCAGGTGGTGTGGTTACGAGAATGTGGAAAAGCACCAAGTTGACACTTAGTAAGTAACCTGTTTGAATTCGTTTTTTTGAGAAGACTGACATCAACGCAGGTAGACAGCGTTGGAAGGGGAAGAAGGTTTTCCCTCCCAACAAGATGGGATTTGTCATCCTTGAGCAAATAACAGCCTTAATTAGAAGTGATTTTTATCCTGAAGGTCAACACTCCGGAATCTGTTTGGGGACCAGGCCCTGTGAAAACTATAGACCCGAGTTCCACCTGCCACCATGCCCACATTTGTAGAAGGATCCTGGGCAGCAGGGGGCAATATCTCCTTCTTATCACCTCCACTGCCATCACTCTCAACGGGCCTCCAGCTCCCTGGTCTACCATGTGGGCCCACTGCAGCCAGTGCCCCTGCGACCCAGAGGAAAAGCCCAGTCCTTACAGTGACCCACAGAACCTTGCATGATGCATCCCCAAGCCGTGCTGCCCAGGCCA